CTTCATCTGGAAATGAGGCTCACTCTTTCATGTTTGAGGAGATTTCTACTTTTTTGCTCCACACAATGCCGACACTCCTCTGCTGCAAACCCAGCTCATTGTATGCCATTACGTCATGTAAGTCCCTGCTGGTTGGAGGCTGATTCCCACTCCACATCAAACTTGCAGGCCACAAGTGAGGATGCCACTTTGATCAAATGCAAGTAAAATGGACTTGCCGGAGCCTGTAAGATCAATACCACATTAATAACACCTGGCTGAAGGAGCCTTGAAGCCTGCACTCAGGCGGCTTCTGCAGAGATGGGAGGCCATGGAAGGCCGCTGACTGTAAATCTCTCAGTCTTGGCATCTGTTCCAGGGTGCAGGAGGGTCTCAGGGTAACCCTGAAGGGCTCATAGTGGCTCTCTCCGGGCCATGCTAGCATCAGTGTCACAGCTGAGATTCTCAGCACTGTGGGACCTTCCTGAGTGTGCTGTATTTACACCTCTTACAGGCAAAGATGCTATTTTAAGAATACACACCTAAATGTAAAAGCAACATGCATGCATGAACTGTATCATAATCATATATTTTCATAAATATGCTTTAAGATGAATAGAAACAAAAGGATGTATCAGTCAGACTTGATATAAAGGGAGCACAGGCCACACAATGAAGGCTACATGGCAGAGGACCAAGCAGCAACCTCCAGTGTTGAAAAATGAAGTCAATTTGGAAGTGCAAAAACTTTCAGTTCCAGTTGGTAGCGCCCACTCACAGGTTACTGTCTTGTCGTGTGTTTTCCTGAATTTATGAGAGGTTTTTTTTTTTCTTCTGTCCTGATTGTAAATCTGTGCCAATTGTGTGTGTCTGTGTCATTTATCAAGTCTGCCTTCCCTGATATTTATGTATTTAAGATACAGTGTTTGTTGTTTCTATTGTGTTGGGGACAATAAAGTTGAAGTTCCTCGAGTGTCCACTCTGCAAAAGCCTTGTCACATACACAGCCATGTTAAAATGCGCATCTTGACATCAGCCTGGTTCAAAAAAAAGATTTTGGTCTGAATAGCAATGGGTGACATCCCTGAGACTACGTCCATGTTTTTCTACAGTGTATGCAGAGGAGACATGCAGCAGGAAATCCTGCTTTTGGGCACTGCCCTCTTCTCAAAGGCCACGACCTGCTCTTTCTCTTCCTGCCTCAGAAACATGACTGCCAACCCGTCCATGACCTTTAAGAAGAGCAAACAATTCTCTGCCTGAGTACACCGAACCTTGCAATGCCTTTCACAAAGACAAAAGAAAAAGGAGGGACTGATTTAGAAACAGAGCAGAAACATGTGATGATTAAAACAAGAAACACCAAAATGCTCAGCAAGATTAATTAAGCAACACCATCGCGAGATGTGCTTGAGCTGCGGTGTAGCACAACGAAATGTCTGCAGACTCAGCAGTGCAGCAGAAAGTGAGGTGAGAAAAAGAGAAATGACGCCCCCTGATTGGACACGTGGCACTTTTGCATTGCGCAGAGAACTTTGAACATGTGGAGTCTGTGTTCATCTTTTCATGAGCAAGCCCATCACCCAAACACCCGTTTGATACAACAGATCAGAGACAGAGAGTGGGAAAGGCAGAGGACTCCTAGGAGGCACCCTGTTTAATAACCCACATAAGCGCTGGAGGCAGAATGGCTAGCATGCACGAGTCCTGCTATGCCCTCAGCAAAAACAAAAGCAGAAAATCCTGGCAATCTATGTGAATAAATCGATCTGCCACTCTCAGCTTCATAGGGGGAAAAAAAAATCTCCCCCATTTTTTCCCCCCTCCATCTCCTAGTTGCAAAGTTTTCCATCTGCTGTCTGGTTTACTGCCCGTGATCCCACAAAGATGGAAGTCAACCAGATTTTTTTCAGAAGTCTGATTTTGGGCCGTATCCCTCCTGTCCCTCACCCTCTTTTCCACAGATGGTGGCCTAACTCCTACAGCAACACTTCCACTTCGGGGCTTTTCTTGTTAACTCTGTGGTGCAAGGCAACATTTTGTACATGAAGGTTACACTCCTCTTTTTCTACAAACAAAAAAACAAAAAAAACACTGACTCAGACTCTTTATGTTAGGGAGATACCAATCATATGAAGCACATCTAATGGGCACTCGTGAGACAGTAAAGCAGCTGCAAATACGTCTGTGAGATGAAGAATGTAACAATAACGCAATGAAAAGACATTTGAATTGTTTCTAATAAAGAATTATTGTTCTCATCCACTAAATAGCTTTGAAACCTTTAAAACATATATCCTGTTTTAGTCATATTAGAGGTCTGTCTTCTGTCTAATCCTGCATGGATCAGTGTGACAAGTTTTGTTGATCGGATGTAACAAAAAACTTAAAATATGTTCCAAATGTCATGTTTATTTCCAACCAGAAGTCCATAATTCAAAAACATGGTGTTGATTTTGCTTTGATAAATGGCAAAGAAAGGCATCAAACCGTTATAGGATGAAAACAGTCGAAGAAAAATAACAATTTAACGATTTGATAAGAAAATATCGTTGCAGCTCCACTGACTGGTGGTCAGATATTATGTGTCCCATCACCACTGCTGATGTCTATACCCTGTAAAATTCAAGCCCTTAAGTATAACACATTCCATGCCATGCTTTTAGTCGACGGTCTAGACTTCACAGTCCTTTTCATCTAGATCCAAGTGTTATCTTATTCACAGAGATAAGCAAAAAGGATATTCTGTCTTAACTTAAGATCAAACTGAGAAATGAGTCATGAGATGGGCGATAATTACGCCACTCAGTTGACAACATTTGCTGCTAATAGAGGAGACAGAAAGAAAGGGAACAACCATACAATTCCCATAAGAAACAACAGAAGATTTAAATCCACACATCCATGCGCATGGAAAGCTGGAACTGTGTGCTCATAACCTCTTTATGTGTGAGCAAATAAGATGTGAATGATGTTTTTTTTTTTTCTCTCAGTCCTGTGCAGCAGAGAGCCTCCATATTTCATAGCCTCTAATAATTTCACTTCCCCCTGAACTGGCAGGCTGGACCGACCGTAGCGTGAGCAAGAAAAGAGTTATGGGAAATATGGATTATCAAGTGAAAAAAAGGCAAGAAATCCCCGAAGGAGCGCACAGCCTTAAATGTTATTAAGCATTCAAGGTTGAGGTGTGGTCTTCACAACGATTACAGCAATAAAGGCTGAGCGTTAATCAAAGGAGACACTCTGAAGATTGTAGGAGTCGAGGCTGCATTTACAGCACCTTAAGATTCTCCTCCTCAGGCGAGTAGAGTGGAGAAGCATGAAGGGAGTCAAGAGGAGGAGCAGAAATCTAGCAGGGTTAACTGTTCTAGGAAAGTAAAAGCGCACATTGCACACTCTGGTTAACAAAATAAAAAAATAAAAATCATGTATGTTTGTTGACTGGCACTCTCACACAGCTGTAGTCAAGCGTCCCTGTTCCACTGAGCTCTTTTAATTACCTGTGTGATTTAATCCTTCATATGTTGCAGCCCATTCCTCTTAATGATCTGCTCCATTCAGCTCTTGACAATACACAACCTGCTTGGATGGTTTTGTTGATTTTCTTTTTACCTGTTTTTTCTTTTTTCTTTTTTGCTGCATATGTCACAACAGGACTACAAGTGTAATACGGAGCAGGAATGTTTTTTACAGTATTTCATTAAAAGAAAATAAATGCTAAGGACGAATACAAAAAGTCAAGTCTCCCTCTGATCCCAACATAATGAGGCCTTTCTTGAACATGCGTGTGAAAAACATTGTGCCGCATTGTTATACAGTGTTGAAGGAGCCTGCAGTGTAAATGTCATCAATATTACTCCCTTATTAGCCTGGTTTTATGTGCTACGGGGGTAAAATCATGCATATGTATGTGTGTAGTTGTGTGTGTGTGTGTATGAGAGTGTGTGACACAGAGACTTGAATGGCCCACAACATTTTAGCTTTTAAAAGGGCACAAAATGCATTTTTTTTCTGATAACAATGCATATGAATAACTGGTAGTAGTCAGGGAATAAAAGCATATTTCCTGTAAACATGAATATGAAATAGTCTATGTCATTCCTGTAAAAGGCTTTTATTTTTTCACCACTCTTTCCATGGGTGATGGCTGGCAGAGTCTACATTTGGCCACAGTCATAAATCACTACAACAACATTTTAAGGAGAAAGTATAAATTAAAGGAGAAGTTTAATAAAAGACACGGTTTAGTCCTTTTATCTGGAGGAAAAAAAAAACACATTCTAACCTTGATGCAATTTCGCTCTTTTTCCACATCTCAGTCATTTTCCTTATTGGAAAATGTTTTTGTAGAGGGAGAAATTTGGTAACAAAATCAATCAGTATTGCAATGCTAAAACATTTAGATCTTTAAGATGCATGTCTACAGCTGCTCTCTTAATACCAGCATGGAGCAGCAGATTTCAGACTGCTGGTATTGGGGGGCGATATAGGCTCACAAATATGGATTAAACTGCCCTGTGGTCGTATTTTCATTCCTTTAAAGAGGAGATTTTGGCTCTAAAATAAATTAACATCTAAGTTTTTATCTAAATGTCACACCTTGCAGGGTATCTGGCGCCCTTTCATTTGCCTGAGTAATAACAGAAATAGCAAAAGCAGTGAGGAGACGAGGGGTGTGCTGTTTGGGGAAATGGGAGCTTTTCCCCTGAAATCCCAGACCCACTCTTCCAAAATAACTTACAATATTTACATTCGTCAGGTACTAAGAAAACGTAATACCTCAGTTTACAAAGTTATTCAACGGGCATGTTTGAATGTTGTTGTTGGGAGGACTACCTCTGTCCCAGCAGGCGACATGAAAGCAGCGGCAAGCCCCAGGTAAACACCAACATGCTAGGTGAAGGCGGCACAAAGTTCTTCTTTACCAAACTCGCTCTGCTTTTCCCTCTAGCGGAGTTTCATCCGCATGTTAAAACTTCCAAACTACGTTTTTAAGGGATGAAGATGGAAATGTGCCTTACCTGTTGGCCCCTCAATGCCATCGGCGTAGATCTGAACAGCCAAAATCAACAGAAAGGCGCAGGTGTTCATCGCGTAGCTGTTTTAGTCCACTTTAAATGTGCAGAGGGAATCATTTCATTCACTCCGTGAGGTCCGGGCGCGTCAGTAGGTAGAGCCGAACCCATCTACTCCAGCAATTCTCACTGAGAGGAGTTTCACAGACACTGAGGGAGACAGGGCAGAGCTAGTTCTGCAAACTGACGTCAGGGTAAACAGTTCAGGGAAGAGATTTCTTCACAAGCTCACTTTACTTTCCCAGCCTCCACTTCTCCTCCAGCGCACTCAAAGTAAGAGCCGGGCGCCTCCAAGCGGCCGAGTGTGGCAGCGACACCGTGGTATTCAAACGTCGGCCATGCAAAACCCAGACTGTGTTTACGCCGCTGTGTTTGTATCTTTGTGGGGACCTTGAGGAGGAGTTTGACGTTGAGAAAGAGGGCAGAAATGTTTGTGTGTTCTTACTGCTCCAAAATGGTTGTTCGAGGTTTCAGTGTTAGGAGGAGGAAATAAGAATCAGGCTTAGGTTTCTGGACAGCCCAAGGTTTGGAAATGTCATTAGGCATCTGTGTGTGTGTGTGTGTGTGTGTGTGTGTGTGTGTGTGTGTGTGTGTGTGTGTGTGTGTGTGTGTGTGTGTGTGTGTGTGTGTGTGTGTGTGTGTGTGTGTGTGTGTGTGTGTGTGTCTTTGTTTTTAATAACAGAGACACAGATCGTGTTCACACAGTCCAATTTAGGGGACTTATCCTCAGTTTTGGAAAAAAAGACATCCACTCAATAGGATTTCAGAATGAAATGAAATCTTGTTTTAGTAAATACATTAAATGTCTTTGTGTGTGTCTTGGGGACATAGACATGGTGTTGTTTCCTGACATTTGTGGCTTAATTTGAATGATAGGTTACTCAATCTTCACTTCCCAGCAGCTCATAACTGCAGTCACTATGTCCACCAGTGCAGGATCAATGGGATTCAATGCGGTATAGGGGTTAGTGGGACTGACTACCCAAGGTCCAATGGGGAAAAGGCCCCTGGGTAGTTCTTTGTTAGTCAGTATTTCAAATAATAATGTTTAAAAAGTCACTTGAGATGAATTACTATCATTTTAAGTGTCAAGAGAAGGAAAGTAAACTCAGAAATGAGGAGAAGTAGTCCAATCATAGGTCAAGATAAGTGGGGCTGGATCAGAGTTAAGTTCTGTACAATGTAAGCTGTTCTTCAATGTCAGTAGAATTCTTCATTCAAGAATTTAACAACAACAAAAAGATGGCCTTAAGAACATTTCCAATAGGGTTTATTAGTCTGGCTTGCTGTATACTCCACTGAATTATTGGTGCTTTCAAACTTGCACAAAATTCCTAAAATCTTCTTGAAGTTTCTGGGACAAGCTGCATGTGTGAAGACAAATAAACGTTTCACTCTGACTTTACCTTGATCTTTTCCTGTCAGCCAACCAGTGAACTGATGTCTGAAATCAGCAGAAAATATTCGGGAGAATTCATAGTTAAATGAACTTGACTTTCAGCTGTCATTTAAAGGCATCATAAAGTCATGAGGACTGTGCATAAATATTTTAATACATTTTTGTTATTTAATTTAAACTGGAATGGAGTCTATATTCTCTTCTGCATATTTGCAGGTATTTTGTTGCCTTTAAGCAGGTGGCTGTAATAACTTGCTTACATGCCGAGAGTGACAAGTCTTCAGGTTACTCATGAGAGTGAGTTAGAGACAAGTTTTGCAAAAAGTATAAAGCACTGAAATACACGGTGCGCTTTTCAACGCCTTCCTGTCCATGTGTTGTGTAAAAAGTTCACTCAGGACTGACAGGTCAGCTATCTCCACATTTCGTCATGCAAAGCATATATCTCCATATATTATGCTGTGTGCATTGAATCTGCATTTGATTAGCTCACAGCTGGCCATGTTTGTTGGGGGATACTTAACAGACCTCATCCTTGGGTTTTATTTAAGTGTGTATTTAAATGTAAACATCTTCATGAAGAAATACATGAAAAGCCCTTGGTACTGTTTTTGTTATGCAAAAAGGAGGTTAAATCAATATGGTGGTTTATTTGATTACCAGGTTCTGAAGTTCACTGCGTCCCGTGTTACACCACAACATAAGGATGACTCCAAGAGTCACCTTTAGATCAAACATCTTGCACAAGTGCTGATGCGGCAGCTGCTCCTCTGCATGAACTCACCTGGCGTTAAAACACAGTTTGGCTGACACATTTAGCTGCGGCTCCAGGAATCTCAATCGGATCAAGAAGCCATTATGCAGGCTATTCATCACTCACTTTGTTTTCTTGTATGAACATTCAAGTGGTGAATCAAATTAAAGGGGACAAACAGACGCATCTGCGGCTTCCAACATGAGCGCACATCTCAGTCTCTAATGTTGTTAGCCCCGAATGATAGATGAACGACGGATTGCTCGGCAAATTACTTAATTTAACTAAAGGAGTGTATGTCAAGCTAACACCTGTAATTACACCAGCCTGATGCATGGTAGCCATTTTGTGGGTATTCAAGGCACAGAGCAGAAATTTATTTAAACTAGGGATTATTTTGTCTTGAATCTGTTCAACTGCATGATGCTTTAATTTGCAGGAACAGGATGTTGCAAAAACACTGTTCGAACCCGACAAGAGGACAGGCATCAGAGGGATACAGACAGCTGCACTATGATGAAAGTCATTTTTATCGCACATTTTCTCAGCTGCCACTCACATCCCCCTCGAAAACTACTACATCTGCACAGGCAGTGTTGTGCTTTCATTTATAATAACATATCATTACAGTACTGACGGGGGTTGGATATCAAACTATAACTGTCCATCACACAGCTCAGGCAGCCTCGCCATGCAGACTGGTGCTTCTTAAATAAAAGGAATAGAAAATCACCGGGTGGAAAAGTGCTGCGGCATCTGAGAGCCGAAACTTTGGAAGCACTACTCCAATCACCAAACAGTTATATCAGTCAATGAAATCACTATATAAATTATCAGTGATTGTTCTGCGACCATAAGTCCGAAATGCACCTCAGCTCACCGTGGTGACCTCTTCTCTGTCTGTTTTCACACCGCCTTGGTACCTACTCTGAAACAGGGGCTAAAAGGGTTCCTTTAAAACAGATTTCTAGGAGCTAAAATAGTTCAACTTTCTGTTGGTGCCAAATTAATTAAAGTAGAGTTCCAAGAGTTCCTAGAACTATGAAAAAGTTCCTTCGGTCCGAAAAACACCTAATGTAACCAAGAATGTTGAAATCAATGAGCGGAAAAACAAAAAGACAATTCAGGTCTCTGCAGCGGGTAAACTTATATGAACAATATGCATTTTACAAATCTCAACAATGAAATCATGTTTTGAACAAGCTAAAACACTTCTTCTGTAAATATCAAACATATTGTTTATTTTAAATGTGTTCTTTATGTTACAAGGGACATCAGTGTCCTTTTCATCGTACATATGTGCATAACTTTTTTTACTTTACATTTTGTCCATAACAAAGAGAAGACAAAAATGACAAAAAAAAGCACACGTTTATGTATTTGCAGCACATACGTTAACAGCACCCTGTTTAAAGTAACAGCACATCACCAGTCACATGACTTACTTTACATTGTTTTCACTTAAAAAAAAAAAACGAAGGATCGTCTATTATTCAGACCATGATAGTCTCGTGCATATATCTGAGGCAGGTCTGAGGCATTATACCGTAACCCGAGATACAAGCCTGAGTGGGAGATTTTTTTCCACAAAAAACAGATAACATTTAATCCCACCCACGCAAGTGATTCACTAAATACGTATTTCCAATTACAAATAGTATAAAGAAATTGATTAGAAAAGTTTGAGGAAATAGTAACAAAATCTGAAAAAGGTTGCCAACCATCTTAAGACAAGGGGGAATACACTCACATAAAGTCAACCAAATATTATATTTACAGACCTAAAGTGTCGTAAAAATGAAATTCAAAATACTTTTTTTTCAAAATACCTGGTTTGTAACAGAGAGAAGCCTGTGTTTGAGGGTTACCCAGCAGTGACTTCCATGATCATTTTAACTGCTTAATTACTTTAGCTATATAAAAGATACAATTAAAAAATACCGATTGCAATTTCCCAGAGCTTAATAAGATGGCTTTGTATTGAAAAAACATGCAAAATAGTGTAGCTTTGTTGACTTCTGTTGTTTGCTAAGAAACATATAAATGTGCACATTGAAAAGTAGGTTCAGTGATTTTTTTTTTTTTTTTTTTGCAGTTTAAACAATAAATCACTCGTAAAAATGGTTGACTATACAAGAAAAAAAGTATAGTATGTGTGACAAAGTACACTGTTTATTTTAAATATTTGCCTGTCTAGTCTCCAGGTCTCAGGCACATTCCCTCCCTTAGCTAGTTTCCCTTTGAGGACATCTGTAGAAGTGGACGACATGCATCCATACATTTGAATTACTTATTTTCACGTGATAACCAGTTGATTTCAGTTGTTTTCTTGAGATTTTAACTTGTTTTTTCTCATTATCTCGAGATAGCAAAGTTTCTTTTCTGTGATAAAGGGATTATTTCCTGGAGATCTAGAAACCAAAACAATAGGCTGGCCATTGTGATACATCATACCATGACATGCCATTTTCCATACAAATTATATAAGTTAAACTTTCTGTTTGTTTTGTGCTTTTGCAACTCTGAGGAAACGCGATAAATAATTTGACATCTCGAGAAAACAACTAAAAATGACTCGTTACCACGGGAAAACAGAGTAGATGTATTATGTGAGTCCGCTTAGTGCTTCCGTAGTCATCATCATCTTACACTCACTTACTTCTTTGTTCCTTTGAAATCTTTTCCCCTATCACCACCTTTTCAATGTCATGCAATCCCTCTGTCTCCTCTCCTGCCCGACTTCCAGGGTGAGAATCTGTGTGAAACCTAATAGTCCTCTGTCCGGGCTCTTTGTGGATCCCTGATGTCTCCTCCTGTACCCGTCTGTGAAGCTTCTTTCGTTTTCCCATCTCACTGAGCTCCTGATCCCGCTCCAGCTCAGCACTTTGGCAGTCTCTGTCTATCCTGCCGACTCCGGCACAGTGAACTCGGCCAGCGGAGGCAGAGGAATGGGTGAATACCTGAGGGTCGATGGCGAGCTGAGTGTAAGATGCGGCAGATAAACCAGAAACAGAGAGAGGCTGGATCCCCAGGCTTGTTTTGATGGGGGACAGCAGGTTGTGGGATTGGCT